CCCCCCCTCCCCGTGTTACCCCCACTCCCTACAGGCACATCCCTCCCCGTGTTACCCCCACACCCCGTGGGCACCTCCCTCCCCTTGTTACCCCCACACCCATGGGCCACCTCTCCCCGTGTTACCCCCACTCCCCGTGTTACCCGCACTCCCCGTGGGCACGTCCCTCCCCGTGTTACCCCCATGTCCCATGGTCCCTGTGCTCCCCATGTGGGTTGCCAACTTTCTAATTGCGGACAACTGGACCCCCCTGCCCCACCTCTTTCCCCAAGGCCCCGGCCCCCACTCGCTGCTCTCCCCTCCCCCTTCCTCGTAGTTGGCTCCTCTCCAGCTGCCTCTCCCTCCCCCCCACCCCGCTCCGGCTGGGATCCCTGTGCTCCGGAGTGCAGCTGATGCGGAGCCTGCCCAGGAGATGCAGGGAGGAGGCGGCCCCCGCTGAGCAGGGGCTGGCACCTCCCACACCCCGCGGTAACTGGACTATTGGTGTCCGGTCAGTACATCTGACCGAACATTGCCAGGGTCCCTTTTCGACTGGACTTTCCAGTTGAAAACCGGGCACCTGGCAACCCTACGTGTTACCCCCTCCCCCCTCCCAAGTTACCCCTATGCCCCATGGCCCCCGTCCCATGTCCCCGTCTCTCATGTTTCCTCTACACCCCGTGTCTGCCCCCCACTCCTCCTCATGTTACCCCCACTGTCATGGCCCCCATCCCCTGCTGTTACCCCCAGGCCCTGCAGCCCCATTCCATGGCTCTGGCCCTCTCCAGGCCCCCATCCTCCCCGTGTCACCCCCCGCCTGTGGCCTCCGTCCCACGCCTGCCTCTCTCTTCTGCCCCCAGGAGAAGCCTACTTGCCCTTTGCCGAGATGCCGGAGCTGCGGAACGCCGTCCTGACGGGACACCCGGGGCACAGCTCTGCCCCCCAGGCCCCGCTGGGGGAACTCCCGGCCCCGCCCTCACACGCTCTGCCTTTTCCCTCCCCAGGACTGCGGAGCCCGGCCAAGCAGAGCGGCAAGAAGGCGTGAGGCCCACCCCGCGGCAGCCACCAATAAAGGGACTTGACTCTGCACGTGTGGAGTGTGGGCGTCGGGCGTGGGGCAGATCTCTGGGCCGGGGAGCGCCGCGCGCGAGGGACGGAGGGGGTCGGAGTGAGCGAGCCAGGTGGAGGGGATACCCTGGGAGCAGCCCTGCGTGCTCCCAGCCTGGAGGCAGAGCTCCTGCTCCTGGCCCAGCCCAATGGCCCAGCCCGGAGCTGCTTGGCGCCTGTGTGAGCCGCTGCCGCGTGCTGCCAGCCTGGCCGTTAACCCCCAGCCAGGCTCCCCCGTGACGCACCGAGAGCCGGCCTGGGGGAGTGTGACACCCACAGCTTGTCAGAGAGCCCCAGTGATTTCAGTGGGGCAGCGCCCAGCGCTGCTGGGACCCATGGATGGGGGGGCCCAGGCAGCTCGCACAGCACCAGATGGCAGGATGAACGGGCTTGCAGCCCCCCAGCCCCACCTTGCCCATCAGCTGTCATGGGGGCTCTCAGGGGAGGGGCACTCTGGGGGTGGGGTCTCTCTGGGGCTGGGGTAGTCGGGGGGGTCTTGGGGGAGGG